GGACTGCTGGGTTCGTGCGGTGCTTCGGCGAAAACACTGAACAACTATGGACAGTGGGCTTCATCCAATGGCCCTTACGACATTATTTATGAAGAGCAGACTGTCGACTTCTCGAACAGCGGCCAAAGATCTGCGAAGCTTGCTCCATTTCTAAGATGTGCGAAATAGTGATGTGCCATTGCAGTAATTTAGAACGATGACCAAAAGCGCCTTTGCTTCACAACTATTATTCGCGCACAAAAGTGTACGAGTGTATTATGATGTTTGTATTTTTTGCTTTGGCTTCTCGATTTCAAAATGCCTTGTTCGACCTTTTGTTGTAATTGTGTTCCGTTGAAACTGTATTTTGTTCATTTGAAAGCGACTACGTTCAGGTTTGTAAAAGGCAAGTGTTTCAGTGATGTTAGATGAACGAAACCTTTGTAGCGTTCTGTAAAAGAGGTGGATTAGTAAAATCTTAGCTTCTTTAAATCCGAATTTTGCGATGAAGGACTGTTGTATAGCTTCAGAAGAAAATGCTTCAACTCCTTACCAGGAATGCTCTCTGAGGTTATCAACACCTGTTTCGATTTATAAAAATCAAATCTCTGCTTCACTATCAAATCTGGTTATTTTTAAAACCTTGTTCACTTTTGCATATACGCTTTTAAGAGTTCCGAAGAAGTGGGTTGTTTTGTTGCCGCACTGTGTAAAACGTTCACGATAGCAAAACAGTTGGGATGGATTTTTAATTTCGTTACCGGCTCTGGTAACATCACAACTTAATAATTATGAAATTCAACTGCATGCTGTACAACTATTAATGCCCTTCATTTTGCTATCTATATAGTTGAAGCCTCAAGATGGTAAACAAATCACTGGCAAATTATCGAAATGACCACTGCACGACAGGAAGTTGGCGCGAAATCATGTCATTTATAACATAGCTATGCAATCTAACTGCAGATGATGTGCGATAGATGTCACCACGAGTCATGACCTGGGTAGAAGGTTTGCACTGAATTTTATCACGTAAGGCCTACCAAGAGTTTTGGAAGCTAAATCTCTCTTAGTGACTCGTACTTCCATCAGATCTGTTTTTGGACATCTACTAGAATCGGTTACGTAGAAAAGTACATGCAGGAAATTTGACTTTTAGTCAACGACGTAGGTTATGAAGTATACAATGCATTTTTCATAGTATGTCAGTGTAGAGAACGACCACTTTCTTGCATCGACTGACCTCATAAATATCAGAGACAAAAGGTTAACTTAGTTCGATTATCTGTAAGGAAAAGCCAGTCCGCTGTCTCGTTAGTTGCTTAGAGGGAGCTACAAACGACGAAGAAACTATGGTCAACTATATCATGGCAAAGGAAACTAGCAGATCTACTGTCGATTAAGAATTTTTCTTTATCGACTCGGTATATACCTAATAGCAGGCGACTACATGTTGAGGCGAGTGGACCTCACAAATTTTAAGCACTATGTGGTTTTACCAATCAGCCAAAGACGAAGATGCAAGAAACACAGGAAAAGGCGTGGATCACGGCGACGCATAAGATTTTTTTGACGTGATTGTGTGCTAGTCATTTGGATGATAAATTTGGGATGCAAATATCGTTTATGTGAAGGGTGAATTCCACCGGCTGCATCTCGCTCGCCATTCCTCGCCATTTCGAGCCTTCTGCCTCAAAGAGCGGCTGTCTTGGATCTTGATGCAACCTTCCTCAAGTTATGGTGGGTTCATTACCGGCTTAGTCCGCAAGCGATGGTACCAGCCATTGATCATCGCCGACCATCTCTCGTCGGTGAGGAAAGCTACGCGCCCTGCCTACTGCAGCTTCAAGTTCTGCTTTCGGTGACGACGACATTTATTACCGTTTTATCGCTAGTCACCGTGCTAGAAATGTGACCGCGACGGGATAAATATTCCCAACATTTTTTTTTAATGGCACTTTCCGTGAGATAAAGCTAACACTATTTGACTTATATGAGTTACAACGTTACGCACCATGCAGCACTGCCAGCAGAACGGTACAGCTGCAGTGGTAGATATGGGTGTCCTTCCTAATTTTGTCTAGAAAGGCGTCCTCCATAGAATGGAATGCGCGCAAACTGGCGCTGATTATTTGTGGAATATCTCCTGCCTGTTCATGACATATTCATTTTTTGGCCCAGATAATTGCATTAGTCGGCTATGATCGTTTCGCAGTTCAATATTGCTTAAAGTAGCAGCAGTGCATCCGTTTACAGCATCTTCGTCTTTGACCGAGTGATTAGCAGTTCGACTTTTGCACTTTTTCTTTCGAGCTCTTGTAGCATGCTTTATAGCTGACTGATCTTTTTGCAAGCAGCACTACGTCATTAGAAAACCTTATGTGGATGAGTTATTCACTAATGATTTTATTTCCATCTTTCCAGTTTATCCTCTGGAACACCATTTTCAAACAGGCAGTGAAGAGTTTGGGGGAGATGGTATACGAATGCTTCGCACCCATCTTTACGGGAATCCGGAGAGGGGTGTCGAACAGCGTGAAATTTTTGAAGCAGTCAGAGTTTAACCCCCTGACAAGTTGATGTGACGCGTGGCGATGTCCTGTTTCGCCAGTGCAGTTCGCACTGCGTTGTATTCCACAGTATCCAATGCTTTCCTGTAGTCGACAATGGCTATGTGCACAAAGGGAGCTGAAATTCCTTGGCTCGCTCATGGAGTTGATTCCAATTGAGGACGTTATCTGCTGCGTTGCAGCTGTTTCAGAATTTTATCTGTTCTCTAGGCTGCTGTTCGTCAAAAGTTGTTAATGGTCTACTGAAAATGATCTTAGTGAAGAGCTTTAAAACTTTTGAGAACAGGCAGACTGGCCGACGGTATTTTTCCAGATCTTCCTTGTCACCCTTCTTGAATCACGCAATTGCTTCTGACTCCTTCCAGTTTTATGGTATCTTTACCATTTTCATGTAGTTACCTTTTCGCTAGAGCTCTCACAGTGTCTGACTAGCTGTTCTTAACATTTAAATTTTCAGATTGTCTTGGTGTGGCTCTTCCTTCTTTTGCTGCCTGTCACGGCGGACTTCGCTTATGAGTACCGAGAGTGCACCTTATTCTAGGCATTAAAGTGATGGTTCGGTGAGGGGAACGCCCTCCTTTTGACGTAAGAGTTGCGCGTAAAAGCTTTTTCAGATGGATAACATCTTAGCTCTATCAAGCGTTATTGCGGCGTTGTCATTCGTCAACGGCTTGGTGGATGACTGGTATAGCGCCAGCTCTTTACTTCATTATTCGAGACTTGGGCGGCTTTCTCCAATTTTCGAAATTTGAAGGTTTCAGAGTCCTTCTTAATATCTCGTTTAATAAGCTTCTCGTATTCATCGTTGCAGTTGCCCTGAAGGCTTTAGCCATCGTTAGAAATGCTTGCTTATAGCTCAATTTCGTCAACTACCGGAATACCCTCGGTTGTTGAATCAGATTTCTCATCTGAAGGTGCTATCCTTTCGTTCTTTTCCTCAAAGAATAGCTTGACTTACACGAATCTGTGCCCACTGCCGGTGTTAACTGATAGCACCATTCCTACGTCTCAGATGGTATGACAATTATCGTGCAGGACGAAATCGATCTCGTCCTTAGTGGTAGCTTACAGCGATCCATGTTAGACTTATGCTCCTCTTTTTTCAGAACTATCTGCTGCCAATACGCAGATATTTGACTTCTGCCATGGCCACCAGATAATCTACTCGTTTATTTCGTTCTCCGCATCGTACCTATCTATGCGTCCACCTTAGCATTGGAGTCAACGTCACCAGGGTATAAATAAACTTTGGGACCAATGCCTATTGCAGTTCTTGGTAGAATTCCAATACTTTTACATGCCAGCTGCATTTGTGGCAGCATAGATCCTCAAGATCTTCAAGATCCTTTTCTTGTTCAGTTTGAGGTAAATCTGAACTAAACTGAATGGACAATAGAATGAAAATACATCCAAATATGCTACTATTCATTGACTTAAATTTGAAACCAGCTCGCCGATCCCCATGTATTTCCTTTGAAGAACACGTAATACATAGATTATGTATACAAGAGAATACTATTTACAATTATAACGTGCCAGGATTCAGGGCCTCAGGCGCAAAATTTTCTTAATAATTTCGCAAAAATAACCGATGGTACCCTGATTACGCAAGAACGTATTCTTCAACCAAAAATCAGATTTTCGCCATATTTGATGGATATTGAATCACAGAAAGTGTTGAAATTTTATCGATTTCTTTATCAGAAGAGAGAAGGAATTTGTTCAAGTCTCTAAGGATAATGCCTTGAGGCCGTCGTATATTTTCGGTTGATTATTTTCCATTTGTTATTACTGACCTGTCATAGAATAAAAGAAAAATATGCTTGGTCAAAGAAATGAACTATAGGAAAAATTATTTTATGCGAATGTTTAACTTCCTGGTGGCGACGACACTTGTAGGCTCCGCCTTACTGACGCAACATTATTGACAAATGGAAATGTTTATTTTAGTAAATTGATCTATCAATATCGGAAAGCAAATTTATCCTGAAGATCGATTAAAGGACCATACTGTCATTGCTACTGTCTATTGTAAGTTCAGTCGTGCAAGGTTGGGCGAAACTCCTTGTTACGAGTGGTAGTATTTGTAATGTAAGTAGTGACATATTCTGTTCGAATCATTTCCTCTGCAGTTCAGAATGTAAGTTTCCTGTGTAAATGGGTGAACCGACGAACTGGATCCGAAATGTTTGCCTGTCTGTATATGGTGTTGTCACAAATGCACCAAGTAGGACGCATTTTTGTTTTCCGTGTCTCTCTGATGAGATGTTCCTACGCCGACAACTTTGTACCTTTGAAAGTAGCCATGCAGATTTTTGTGATGTCGTCGACAGTGTTTGATCTGCTGTTTGCGCAGTATATCGCCGATGACGAACTGACTTGTAACTGTCTGATTGTATACGGTGGTGCTAATGTCTGTTGTTCTTGTAGACCTTGCGTATTCGCGCCGAAATGGGATCCTGGATGAATCAAGGCATGCAGCAGCTGATCCCCTTAGTGAATCAACTACAGGACGCATTCACTTCCCTCGGGGTATCGCTTGCTCTTGATTTGCCCCAGATCGCTGTCGTCGGAGGTCAGAGTGCAGGGAAATCGAGCGTGCTGGAAGCCTTCGTTGGGAAGTAAGGACACCCTGTGCTGTAATCTATGATTTTTAGAACTTTTCTTATTGATCCTAACGTTGTTTATCCTATTCCATCATCGTTCGACTGCGAAACGTATCGATTTTACTTAAATTTTCTTCGACGATGCCTGTAATGGAAGAAGAGTGAGCGAATTTGATTGTAGGCCTATCGGTTGTCGTTCGAAGTGCAACATTTGAGTTAAGCTTTTTC